TTTCTTAATGGAACAGGCACTATGCTCAGCGATTTATATTCTTTATACAATGTTGTCCTCAAAATAGCCCTTTGAAGTAGTTGTGGTAATCCCCATTTCTCAGATGAAGAAATTAAGGCTCAGAGTAATGAAGTGATTTGCCCAAGGTCACCTACCAAGTGGATGGTAGAACCAGTATTTCAACCCCTGTCTTTGTGGCTCTTCCCACTGGTTCTAAGAACCAGTAAATCAAGTTCTGCCAGGGCTGCCACCAGATGCAGCCAAAGGATGCTCGTTTGTAGACATTCCTCTGAGACAAAGGGAGAATTCTCACTCAGAAGCAGGGACTAGAGTGCCTCTGGTCCCTGGACTCCCAGCTCCTACCAGGAAATTCCCCACAGCATCCAGAAAGAGGGCAGAGTGAGGCTTGATTTCAGCTCATGAACTTCGGGAATGACACCCTCAGAGTCTCCAAGAGTGTCCGTAGCTTCCAGAGGTGCCAAGTTCATGTCGACGGAGGTAGAAAAGAATGTGGGTCCCTCGGTGGACTCTTGGAAACAGAGCTGTGACCCTCCCCTGTGCCCAGCCTGGCCCAAGATGCTAGAAATCAGGGCGCCTGGGTGGCTCAGTTGGTTAAGCGACTGCCTTCGGCTCAGGTCATGATCCTAGAGTCCCGGGATCGAGTCCCGCATCGGGCTCCCTGCTCAGCAGGGAGTCTGCTTCTCCCCCTGACCCTCCCCCCTCTCATGCTCTATCTCATTCTCTCTCTCAAATAAATAAATAAAATCTTTAATAAAAAAAAAAAAGATGCTAGAAATCAGAGCTGAATCTGGCACGGTCCCTGCTGCAGAGCTGGGCCTGGGGCTCCATCTCACGCAGGGATGGTTTTTAGAGTATTCCAAGGCCTTGCTCCTCGCAGTACAGACAAGCAACCCTGGCATCCTCCAAAAACTTGTTAGAAATACAGGCTCTCAGGCCACACCCCAGAACTGCTGAACTGGAATCTGCATTTTAACACGATCTCCAGGTGATGCATCTGCCCATTAAAGTTTGAAGAGCACTGCTGTAAGGCCTCAGTTTCCAGATCTGGCTGTGCCTCGGAGTCACCTGGAGAGATCTTAAAGGTACAGATGCCCAGGCCCTTCAGATGTTGTCAGTGAGGCTTTTCTTTTCCTTTTTCTTTTTTTCTTTAAGCTTCTCTGGTGAATCTGATGTGTAACCATCACCGGTAAGCACCATCACTGTAAGCTCCTTAGCATTAGTATTTCCTCTGTACACTCCCAGGGAGGCAAACAGTCATTCACTCGCTGATTCAGAAAGTCAGTAGACCTTTCTGGAATACTTACTCTGCACCAGCCCGGAGCTAAGCAGCAGGGCCTCGAAGCTGGTCCTTGCTCTTGAAGAGTTCAAGATGTCATTGAGGAGAAGACAACTAAACAGAAAAGTGTTAAGGTGCTACAGGTACTAAAATTATATTCTGTGGAGGGCCTAGTGATGCCACAGAGGAAGTGGCCAGTTAGCCAGTGGAGGAAAGCAGGGCCTGGGAATCCAGGGATGGCAGTACAGATGAGATGACGCTGGAGCTGGGTCTCAGGACAGGGTCTGGTGCTCCGCGGTGGGTCAGGGTAGGGCCGTTTTCAAGGCCCTGAGAGGCAGTGTGGGCAAATAGGAAGAACACGGCCTTTAGGTCAAGAAGATTGGAGTTGGAAACCCATCCTGCCACTCAGCAGTCTCTGGCCCTGGTCAAGTCACTTCACCTCTGGTAGTCTCCGTTTTCTGAAATATATATTTAAAAACAACAATCACCTGCCTTACACAGTAGTTGTGAGGAGGGTCAGGCTTTGTGTATAAAGTTCTAGGATGGTGTCTGGGACAGAACAAGCTCCCAGAAGTGGTAGCAGATGCTCTCGTACCAGCGACAGTCATCTCGGCAAGCTCTGCCCCGCCAAACGGTGGTCCTGCCCCCGGCAGAGGTCCGGTGGCTGCTCCCTAGGCAGGTGTCATGAGGAAACAGTGCCCTGAAGGCTGTCGAAGAGCTCTACCTACCGGAAAGGGCTGTTGAGATGTCTAATTTCATTTGATCCTGATGACAAGCCTGTGGGCCAAGCAGAGCAGGAACTTCATCAGCTGACAACCGAGGGACCTACAATTTGAGCGATGTAGGTGACTTGCTCAAATTAGAACCCACGTCTCCTAAGCTCAAAACTAGCATTTTTTCCCTACATTTCCCTGACCACCAGATGGCAAATATGTCCTTGAGCACAAAAGATGGGCCACAGCTCTTTCATACTCTCTGGGACAGTCCTGCCAGGGCCACCCCCTTCTGGAAGTCACTGAGCTGAGAAACTGTACATGAGTGACATGTCTCTGGGTCGGTGCAGGAAGACAGGAGCCAGAAACTCAGGGGGCAAATCTAAGTGGACAGGGCCCCCACCATACTCCCTCTGGGACACATTTTCTGCCAAGGTGGATAGCACCAGTTTATCATGAGCGATGCACAAAGAGATGAAATGATCTCCCCCCCTCACAGCTGTCAGCGGGAAAGCAGAGAGGTCAAGGTTGCCCTGCAGTGCAGAGTGGGATCTAAGGCCATCTGTTTAGCCAGAGTCCGTGTCATCTGGGAAGATTAAAGGATAAGTCTCAGGGGGCATTTCAAGATAAACAGGACATCTCTCCTGTTATCAGTTTCCTCCAAAAGAGAAGTGAAAGAAACACCAATAATTTGAATGAAAATGATATTTAAATAAGCTCAAAATGAAGATGCCATCCATTTAAAGCAAATGGCTACTATGCCCTAGAAGGCACCAAGTTGAACACTGGAAATACAAAAATGAATACAATCCCGTCTCTTCCCTTCAAGTGTTGACTGTCAGATTTGGAAGACAGCCTCATAAATAAAAAGTCACAGCATTTTGTGAAGTATCCTGTTACCCAGTTATGAGCAGATAGGAATCTCCACACACAGGGGTCAGGGAAGGTTTTGCCAGAAAAGATACCATTGAGCTGACACCTGAAGAATGAGTAGAAGTTCAGCAGGGGGACAGAATATTCCACAGAGCGGGGATGGAAGGTACAGAGAGGTGTGGAGGTGGGGGGGGAGGGGACAAGGTGCTGGAGCGCAGGCCGTCTGCTGGGAGGAGGCTGGGGAAAAGAGACAGTGGCAGCGTGTGAAGGGCCCTGTGTGTTGCTCGGCTGGGGAGTCTGAACTCAGCCCAGAAGCCGTGGGGAGTCCTGGAAGGGAGGGCATTGGCACTGGAGTGACGTGACGATGTCTGGGTTAGAACAAGGAAGAATGGCCTGGGGAGGACCCAGACTGCAGGCAGAGAGACCTGCCTATTATTTGAGAAGGATGAGGTGATGGGACAGTTGTGTTGGGTCTACAGAGGAAGGACAGTTGGAGAAAATCATGTCACCTTCGTCTAATTCAAGGAGAGAAAATAAAGAGAGGCTATCTTGGGTCTGGGAACCTGGCCCTGTTAAGAATCAGCCAGTCCCCAAGACAACGCCCAAAGCAAGGGATGGTTATGATGACAGGCCAGATTAAGACCTTCAGAGACCTTGACACTGAAAAGATGACGATGCCCCGTCTTCATGTGTAATTCAAAAAACACCAGTCTGTAAAATAAAATTTTGTTTTTCAAAAGGACCCAAAACCTACATGCCTGATAAAACGTAAAATCGCTTCCTTCTAGACTTTTCTGATTCTCTCACTTGCATCTTGAAGGTTTGTACAGTGCCCTTCCTTTGAGGGCACTGCGCAGTCTGCCCTCTGACTCCCCAGTACGGTTTGCATCCCACCATCCAGTGAAAGTGGCCAGTGCCGGGCCATCCAACCTGAACAGAGGGAGAGTCCCTTGAATCAGAAGACTTTCCAGAGGCTTGGAAGTGGCTACCAGTATTCAGATGCAGTTTGAGGGCCTGAGAATGACCAGGCCATGCACAGGGACTGAAAGTTAGCTTTCCAGGAGTTAGGAGTCCAGCTCCAATTCAGCCATGTGATAGGACAATTCAGGTTTAATTAGGGAGTCCTCTCCAACTGTAAAAAAAGACATAATGACTAGGAATTAAAATAACAGTTACGATTATTGAGTATCTACAATGTGCCAAGCACTATGCCAAATAATCTTCAGATATGATTTTATATAATTTTCTCAGTACACCGACAAAGTAGCTGTTCATACCCCATTTTGCAGAGGCTTGAGGCTCAGAAGGCCAGCTAACTTGCCCAAGTTTCAGAACCTGGAAATGACAGAGCCAGACTTGGAACCCAGACTGATCTGATTCCAGTACTCGTGCATTTTTCCTGCCATGTGCCCAGGGCCAGTGCCTTGTCTCTGCCACCCTCCCTAAGGTCATGGTCTACCTCTGCCTCCCTCTGTTGGCAGAGCCTTGTCTTTAGGACTGGTTTCCAGAAACAGAACTGCCCCCTTGTTTTATTTCTTTTTCCTTGGATGTTGCTGCAAATTACAAACTCATCCTGCAATTCCTTATATCTGACTGCAGAAGGGAGACTCCTGGGCTCCTGATCAGTATAACGTAGGTCTGAGTCGACAGAAGACTGTATTGTCACTGACTGGGAGTCAGCTGGCCAGGGTCTTATCAGCCAGTCCTGACGTGGCTGGGGGTGGGGCTGCCATACAAACCCGAGGGAGAAAGGCTTGTGTTTTGAACTCTTGAAGTGTTTTTTTAGAGGCAAGCCCTGTCGTGTTTCTGGCTTGGATTTACAGGCCACCCATGGTAAGCCTCCCTGATAATCCTTTTAAGAAAACACGTGTTGTGCTCCTCATATGGACATGGTGCTGGGCCGGGCATCACAGTCATTGGCAAGAGCTTCTTGTATTAACAGTTAGGTAAGAGGGATAATGAAGCCAACCACTGGGGTCAGAAAAATTACAGAACTATGACCCAAAAGAGGGACATCATCCCCAAGTGACTTTTTGCTTGGATTCATGCTGTACCTCTGCGGTCTCCTGATGGGAAGGAAGAAAGTGCTCACCAAAGGGTGTGTCCTTATTTCACAGCCATAGCCCAGCGCATAAATACTACCTGACCACGGACCCCATGAGCGGGGCTGTCTTCCTCTCGGACACCAACAGCCGGCGGGTCTTTAAGATCAAGTCCACCGTGGTGGTGAAGGACCTCGTCAAGAACTCCGAGGTGGTCGCGGGGACAGGTGACCAGTGCCTCCCCTTCGATGACACTCGATGCGGGGATGGGGGCAAGGCCACCGAGGCCACACTTACCAACCCCAGAGGTAAGGCTTGCTTTTTAAACTCAATCGGTAACATTGACGGGGGTCCTGATAATTAACTTCCCAGGAGTAAGGAGTCCAACTCCACACTCAGGCTTAGAACTGGAAAAAATTATAAATAAGCCCCATGTGATAGCAAAATGCAGACTTCATACCCACTCCAGTTTCAAAAGAAATACATGCTTATCCTTGTGAAAGCATTTTGGAAAATAGCAAGGAGTCTACAGGGAAAAGTTAAAATTGTCACAATTCCACCTGCCAGAAATATTCCCAGGTAACATTTCCTGTCTTTCCTTCTAGTCCTTTTTCCGTGTGTTGCTGTGCATGTGTTTGTGTGCTCACCAAAAACAGACAAAATTGTGGTCAAACTGTTTTGGTAACCTTTTTTTTTTCCCCTAACTGATATATCATGAACATTTCCCCATGTTATTAGTCTTCTCTGCCCTCATTTTTTATGGCCATATAGCATTCCATCAAATGGATGTCCCATCATTCACTCATCAGTCCCCTCCTGTTGGACATGTATGCTCTCTCTCATGTTATTGTTTTATCAGAACATTGCAGCGTATCAGCTTTGTAGATGCTCACATGCCATAGGACGGGTTAACTGCTGGCTTCAGTTCTGAGTCCTTCAAAAAGTGAGACCTCTTCATACCCACAATTACAATTTTCCATTCACTTATTCAGCATGTATTCACTGAGTGCGCAGTGCACTATGGTTGCGTAGGTAAGTTCAGTGTAGCAGAAGAAATAAGACTTGAACGTGAACCACTAATGTGGGAGAGAGGAAGAGGAGCTTCTCCCTGAGAAGCAAGGAGACATGTGCACGGGACTCAGATTTCTATACTTCATAAGATACCCCACAAAAATGTCATATGTAATTATATTAGTAAATGGTGCCAGATTTCAGGGCATCTCCTGGACCCAGCTCTGCCCCTCATGAATAGAATTAATGTCTGTGACAGTGGTATGTGCACTTTCCAGTCAAAGCATTAGAGTCTAGTGAAATCAGGCTGTTCTGTATTCAGATTCAGTCATTGTCACCTCATAGCCGTGTGAGTTGGGCTGAGTTGCTTAACCTGTCTGAACCACACTTGCCTCGCCTATGAAATAGAAATGTACTGCACAGTCGGAGTACAGATTAAATCTGATCAGGAGTGAAAACGCTTAGTTCCGTGGTTCCACGCACCTGATCAACATCTCATAAATAGTGACGTCTATTATAATTGTTATATTACATTACATTATGTTATCACACTATATAGCATCATATCTCATCTCATCTCATCTCTCTCACATACCTCGACTGGTCAGGTGGTAACTGTGGGGTAAGTATTGTGACTTCCGCGGTCCCAATTATGATTTCCTAACCCTGAGCGAGTAGTAGCCTGCAATGGAAAGAACACCAGGCTTGCACTTAGGGATCATGCCTTATGATTTGGTCCTGCAGCTCCCTGGCCTCTGACCTCCTCTCTGGGCCTCAGTTTTCCCATTGGTAAATGAGCAGATGGGGCTCCATGGATCCCCAAGACCCCGTTCAGTTACAGCATTCTGTTCTCTCAGAAGTAAACGTTTTTTCTGAAAATGTTATTCTCTCCAGGGCTTTCTCAGTTGCCCCCCCACACAGATGCACGCACACGGATGCACACACGCGGGCACCCAGATGCAGCGGCAGGGAAATTGCCCGAAAGTCTGTAATTAACCCCGAGAGAAATGACAAGGGTGCCACGGCACGCAGACACTTCACAGAAGGGAGGAGAAAAGATGTCCATCTATTTAGCACGACAAAAGGAGAAAAATCTGAAGTAATTAATCAGGGGGCAGATCACTTCTATTAGCCTGTGCAAGCAGCTTTGTAAACAAGAAGCACGATTGTTCACGCAGCACTCATCAGTCCCAGCAGATGGAAGAGAAAGACAGAGCATAGCCAGGCAGACAAGAAAACTCCTGTCCTGGTACTTACAGAATGCAATTAATTTAGACTCTAGGCAGGGACAGAAGAAAGGCATCCCTGCCTGAAGGCTGCCTTGTCCTCTGTGTGAAATCACCCTCCGGCCCTGAGCAGCCTAACAAGGGGGTGGACAGACCTACTGCTCCAGGGAGTCTTCAGCACTCAGAGGCCCTGGGGTGTCTGAAACCACCCCAGTCCTGGACACATGGACCCCAAGAGCAAGGGCCTCCACAAAGCGCTGGTCAAGTTCTCAGAATTCTCAGCCACTAGTAATTATTGAGGGCTATTACAAGTGTCAGCTATTATCCTCCCCGTTTTGTTGACAAGAAAGCTGGATTCAGTCAAGTGACACGGCCAAGGGTCTACAACTGGAAAGCTTTCTCTTGCAAGTGCCTCTACCCTTCTTTCATTTCAGTGCCCAGAGAAGCCTGAACAGAACGCAACTGACTGGACTCTCCTTTTCTTCATCATGTCACTCCCTGGGGCACTCGGCAGGGCCCTGACTCATTCCCGCCCTCCCCGCTAGCCTGTGTGCTCCCTGGGGGCCCGTCTTGTCTGTCTCTCAGCCCCAGCACCCCTGAGCAGTTCTCGGTTTGGTCAGGCTATGTCTAACCCTTGGGGTGGTAATTTGGGGTGGAAATCAGTATCACCCATGATAAAACATATCTTAGTCCCAGTCCCAGCCACCCCCAGAATTAATATTTCCAGGAGTGAGGCCAAGCAGGTATACGTTGGGAAAAATAAAGACTCTTCTGGTGATTCTGATATACATCACTGGTTAAGAAGCACTGATTTATTGTATTAGAGTGATTCTCGAACTTTGTTTTAGATCATTACCACCTGAGGTGCTTGTCAAAAATACAGATAGATATTCAGGCTCTGCTTGAGGTTTTCTGAACCAGCTCCCTGTGGAGTACCTAATAGAAAATGCACACACATCCAGGAGTGAGAAGTACAAATTGAGAACAATCCCTTCATTTAAGAGCTGAGAATACAGAGACATCCAGTGACTTGCCCAAGGTCACACAGCTGGTCATGGAGAAAGTGAACGGTGAATTCAGACTGCTCTCATCCATGTGCCTTTCTTTAGACATTTATTTCACCCATATTCTCTACACACATCCAAAGCGTTCATGTTTAGGCTCTATACATCTATAATAACCAATAAAAATAAAATCAGAATAGAAAACAGGAAGGATGACTATCTTGGGAGAAAATAAAAATTGTTACCAAAAAGGGAATTTGATTATTATAATTAAAAGGCTTCATAAGTAGATTAACTTAAATAATTCACAGTTTTGACATTGAAAGGTTCTCCTTACCGCTACCTCTAATGCTTGACAAACCCCCAGAAGCAGGAGTCTGGTTTTGGCGGCTAGCTAAGCTGACAGGCAAAAATCTCCAGAGGCAGTAAGATGGAAGGACCAGAGCCCTGGAGAATCAGAAGACTTGAGTTCTAATCCCTGGTCTGAACAAGTCACCCTAAGCCCCTGGGCATCTGTCTTCAGGACTTTAAAAGGGGAATGAATCCTGTGGGGAGGATGTCCTCAAATCACAGAGGGGAGGTTCTCCATCAGCCTGGAAGGGTCCATGAGCATGTCAGTTGTTACCACCTCTAATGCTGCATTCCCTGTTTCGGCTTCTCTTTCTCAGGCATCACAGTGGACAAGTCTGGGCTGATTTACTTCGTGGATGGTACCATGATCAGACGCATTGATCAGAACGGGGTCATCTCCACCCTGCTGGGCTCCAATGATCTTACCTCGGCCCGGCCCCTCAGCTGTGACTCTGTCATGGATATTTCTCAGGCAAGGAGAAAGCTTTGCTTGCTAGAACCCTGGGGCTGCACGCTCATCCTCTCACCTAATACCCAGCCCTCCTGCCGGCCCCCCATCTTTATACCGCACTAACCCTTGAAGAGTACACTCTTGGTGCTGGGCCTGGGAAAAACACTAAGGATAAAGAGATGAATAGGGCATAGCTTGGTGCTCTGGGAGTTCACCATCAGGGGAGACAGGTGGGTGACAGAGGGATCTCAGGGGAGAGTGAAGAAATCTGCCCATGGAAGTTTCAAAGGCAGCAGAAATTCACGTGGTATGAATTTAGATCCATAGCTGCCTGTGAGTTCCCTCTTTGGAAATACTTACAGTACCTGGGCATTGTCTTTTCTCTTCCTGTACTATAAACTCCATGAGGACAGGAATTCTGTCCATCTTTTCCTCTGCTGTAACCAGAGGTATACAGTATACGGTAGGAGTATAACCAGTATTTGGTGACTGACAGATTGAATCCTAGCTTTGCCACTCACGAGCTGATTAATTTTAGACAAGTTCCTGAAGTCCTTTGAGCCTCTCTTTTTATATCTTTAAAATGAAAATCATTGACTTCAGCCTGGCAGGATTGCTTGGAGAAAACATGAACAGTGAATACTGGGCTGCTAGCATTGCTTGGCTCTTCAAAGGCAGTCAACAAACAGAAGTTCTGGTGCCCACTTTCACAATGGAAGTGCAATCTGTGCCAGGTTTTGAAGGTGAAATAGGGGTTGCTGGTTGGCAAGGAAGAACGGAGGCATCTCACACAAAGGGAGCAGCACGTGCAAAGGTACAAAGATATTAATGGGCCTGCAACAGTCAAGGATCATTGGAAGATGGAAGGCATTGGAATAAAGAAGCAGGAGTTGAAACTGGAAGCATGATTTGGGGCCAGTTAGGGAAAGACTTTCCCGTACCATGCCAGAGAGTTTGGACCTTAGCAGGGAGCACCGGGACCCCAGTTTAGACCCAGTGACTGGCCATTCAGCATGTCCTTAGTTTGTCCCGCAATGTCTTGGCAAGGAAAGTGTCCTTTATTGCTCGGGCCTTTGGCAGGGCCTGGCCGGAGCTGAATCAGTGAACATCCTTTTTGCCAACATTAGCAAAACCAAGGGAAAAAGGAAGGCAGGAGTTACATTAAATTGCACAGTGGTGTCAGCAATAACCTCACTTAGCTTTTTAAACCCCCTGCACAGAGGCCCTTTTCCACTGACTGCTGATCTGCTCCCTGTTCTTTGCAGGCCGCAGAGGTGGGAGGCCTCACTGGCCATGCCTGCCTGTTAGCGGCATGTGTCCTGGAGCGCCATCCCCAGAGCCCCCTGGCTGTCGCTGGCCATCCCAGCACCCGCCTCACACCCCTTTCAGTTGCTGGCATGGTTTTCTTCTGCGCCAACTAATGTGATTGTTACGCCCCCGAATGAAATCTGTTCTCTGCCACTCGTCTTCCCAGTTTGGCAGGCTTCCCCTTGCTGGCTAGAGAGTTTCCCTCTCCAGCCTGTACGCAAGCTGGAATTACCCGTCAGGAAGCTGCCACAGCCTGAGGATGTACACGCGAGTACTTTCAATTCTCAAAATGGGCCCTGTACCAGCCAGCACGGGCGCTGAAAATTTTCAATCCACACATTGGAAAGCTGTGTAACTTTAGGTAGAGGTGCTGCCAAGCAGCCAGATCCAAGTCTTGGAGGACAACTGGCAGATAGTGGAGTGGGGAAAAAACCCACACTTAGCTTCAGAAATCCTGGACCGCAGTCCCTTTGCCCCTGGTTGTCACTACCCTCATCTGAATCGAAGCATGGAATTCTTTTTACCAAGCTCTCTGGACACGGGCTGATATTTTTATACACACGTGTGGGCAGGGTACTGGCATTCATTCTGAGAGCTTCCTCTGTACAAACACTCAGAGCTATTTCACTGCCCCCAGGGGAGCAGGGTGGTAAGCCAGAGAGCTAAGAACACAGCTCAGAGGCAAGAGTACAAAGCAGAGAACCAAGGAACTTGGACCAGCTCCCCTGGGAGGAGACGAAGACCAGGCCCGAGGAGAAACTCGAAGGAGGCATAGAGTAGAGAAGGAACAGAAGATGTTGCAACCCAGTAGAAAGAGGGGATTCGTTCCTAGCTCAGCAGGCTACAGAGTATAACTCTGTATGGAGGGCCCAAAAAGATTTCTTGAGAACTTAGCATGTGCCAGGCACTGTTAGAAATGGGAATACAGAGATGAGTATGACTACTTTTCTTATTTAGCTGTCACAATAACCCCAAGGGGTGATACTATCTACCCCATTTTACGGATAAGGAAACTGAGGCTTAGTGGGGGGGGGGGAATGCAGTTATACATACAGAGCCCTACGCTAGGTTCCATCAGGGATGTGGAAATGAATTTTGAAGTGAAATCATGTACATAAATTGCCTAGCACAGCGCCTGGCAGCTAGTAATAAGCTGTAAATATTCATTCCCTTTATAATTTGCAAAGAAACGCCTTGTACATTGTCTTGTTTGATCCTCACAACTTCTCTATGTAATATTTATTACCTCCATTTACAGATGAGGAAAGAAGTTCAAAGTCTTTAAGTAACACACACCTGTAGTAATTGTGGGACTGAGACAAGAAGTGAGCTGTCCTGGCCTCAAATCCCTCGCGCTCTCTATGCCATTCACCAGTCATTCGTTTGTTCATCCATTTGGCAACCCATTTTTTTGAGAACAAATAACTCTGCCACAAGGCAGTCATCTCAGAGCGCTTTGATAAAGGCGCAGAATATTCAGGAGGACAGGGGAGAGGGAGCTCCATCCCCCCTCAGGACCGCAGAACACGGGAGCAGGCCGGAGGGACCACAGGAATTCTAAAGAGCCGCTCAGCCGCTCTTCCATTGTGGTGACGGCGCCCTGTGGCTCTGAGGAGGTGAAATCAGAAAAGCTTGTGTGCTTGGTCTGCTCCAGAACCATCACACAGGCTCCGTGACAGAGCCAGGACGGACTCCAAGAGCACTGTTCTTCTTTCCCAGGTGCCTGTGTGCACGCAGCAGGAAGGAGGGGGAGAGCAGGAAGGCGCTTGCTCTTCCCCTCTCCCCCCTCCCCGCCCCTCCCCAGCCACCCATCAGGGAGGCATCTTTTCCTCATAATGACTGGCAGAAAGGTCTGGGCTAGCAGGTCCCCAAGGTGCCACAGGACCAGAAGGCATAAAATATTTAGCAGCCAGTGTTGACAAGAAATGGGTTTTAGGAAATTGAAAATTCCCCTGTCACTTTAGAGGAAACTGTTCTTGATGCGGCCAAGGGCTCAGAGAGCACTGGGAAGTGGGAAGGAGCGCCTCTGGCCGGGGGCACTGGTCTCTGGCAGGCCAGGCTCCGCAGGGGGCCCAGGGGCCCAGGCTGGGAGGGAGGAGACGGGAAGACCAGGAAGCAGGGCCTGAGCAGGGCCCTGAGCTGAAGGGTCAGATGGAGGTGGCCACATCCCAGATGTATGTAATTTGCTGGGTTTCTTTTTATATTAGTAAACTACCACATGGACATTGTAGAAAATGCAAGAAGTTAAAGATTACAAAGAAGAATGTTAAAATTACCCCAAACCCGAGTATGATTAACATTTTGATGTATGACCCCAAGCTTTTAGTCTCCCCTCTATCTGTAATTTATCTAATTTGTGGTTGCCATATTTCCCCCCAGTTGGGGTCACACTGTGCTTCCAATTCTGTAACCTGGTCTTTTCCACTAATACGTAGCAAGCATTTTCCCATGTCATTAAATATCCAGCTATAACATCACCTTTAATGGCTACACAGAGTACTCTACCTTATGAGCGAACTAAATGCTATCACTTATTTAGCCAGAGCTCTGTTGTTGGGCATTTGAATTGGTTGCAGTAATTCGCCGTTATTAAAAATGGCTGTGATGTACACCGTTGTCGACAAGGGTGTGCAAGAGTGAATTCCTGGGAGAGAAATGTCTTATCTAAAGTAATATGCATGTTTAAGTAAGTCCGAAATTGGACAGAATGTCGAGGGTTTGTAGGGGGCTCGGGAACCTAAGGCGATGAATCCCTAGGGACGGGGGACACAAATCAGATGGAGGCGGCACTTCAGGCCGTGTACAGTGTGGCTGGATGACCCCTTGGGGACACAGCTGGCAAGTGGCTTCCCTCAGTGCCAGTACCTCCCAGTGTCCACCAACAAAGCATTCCTCACCTCAGACCCCGCCAGCTTCCTCCCCCACCACCCCCTCTCCGTGTGCCTACCTGAAAGCTCACCATCGTCCCTGCCAGCTTCCCAGCCTGGCACAGAGGAGACTCAGGCATGGGCCCCAGGACCTCAGAACCCCTCCTTCCCGGAGCCACCTTCTTTAATCTCTTCCAGGAGGACATGTTTTCTGAGGTGCTAGGAGCCATTATCTAGAGCAGGGATTCACAAACCTCCGTGTGCACAGGAGCCATCCAGGGGTTTGGTTTAAATTCAGATTCAGATTCAGTGGGTTCGGTGAGACCTGCCGTCCTGCATTTCTGACCAGCTCCTATGCGATGTCAGTGCCGCTGGTCCAACAATCACACCTGACAGAGGAAGGATTCCATTGTGATTCCCAGTTCCCACGTTAGAATCACCCAGAAAGCTTTCAAAATCATGCCACTGCCTAAGCCCCACACTCAGGGGTCTGATTTCATTGACCAGAGGTGGGATTTGTGCACCAAGCTTTCTAAAACCACCACAGGTAATTGGAATGTGTGGCCAGGTTTGAGAACCACTGGTCTGGAACCGTCAGGGACCATGGCTATTTTGTCTTTACATCCCCAGCCGCTAGGCATGTGTTCATCCATGAACCCAGTGGGCTGAGATGCCGTCTTTCATGCAGGTATCATATCATCAGCTCATGTAGACATCTGAACAATTCCTGCCTCAGCCTCCAGACTCCCCCTGCCTCCCCTCCCACCTCCAACACACTAGCTGTCATTAGTTGAGCGCTCATTGTGGGTCAGGCACTTTGCACTATTGTCAGTCCTGTTGTACAGAAGTGAATACCGAGGCTCAGAGAGGCAAAGTAACTTGCCAAAGGTCATAATGGTGGGGCTAGGATCTGAACCTGGGCCCATCTGGCACCCAATCTATCTCCTCTTTACTTTTTTTGTTTCTTTGACTATTTTTTTTTTCCTTTTTATTCCCTTCTTCATGTTTTGTGAGTCTAATGGAGATCATGAGGTGTCTCAGTGACAGCTATTGCATGTTTCACTCTGATCAGGGGGCTGACACCCATTGCCGATGACAGGCCGCCGTGAGATCAGGCAAGACAGCGTGTGAAGGCACTCGAGACATTCTTACAAGCTATACAGGCTGGGGGAGGATTCGTGGTGGGCACCCTGCCAGGCATCTGAGTTATCGGTTGTCTCCATTGGCAGGTTCGCCTGGAGTGGCCCACAGACTTAGCCATCAACCCAATGGACAACTCCCTCTACGTCCTTGACAACAATGTGGTCCTGCAGATCTCTGAAAACCACCAGGTGCGCATCGTCGCTGGGAGACCCATGCATTGCCAGGTCCCCGGCATCGACCACTTCCTACTGAGCAAGGTGGCCATCCACGCAACCCTGGAGTCAGCTGCTGCCTTGGCTGTCTCACACAATGGGGTCCTGTACATTGCTGAGACCGACGAGAAGAAGACCAACCGCATCAGGCAGGTCACCACCAGCGGAGAGATCTCCCTGGTTGCAGGGGCCCCCAGTGGCTGTGACTGTAAAAACGATGCCAACTGTGACTGTTTCTCGGGAGACGCCGGCTATGCCAAGGACGCAAAGCTGAATACGCCATCTTCCTTGGCTGTGTGTGCCAACGGGGAGCTCTACGTGGCTGACCTGGGGAATATCCGAGTTCGGTTTATCAGGAAGAACAAGCCCTTCCTCAACACCCAGAACATGTATGAGCTGTCCTCGCCCATTGACCAGGAGCTCTACCTGTTTGATACCAGTGGAAAGCATCTGTACACCCAAAGTCTGCCCACAGGTGATTACCTGTACAACTTCACCTACACGGGGGATGGCGATGTCACACTCATCACTGACAACAATGGCAACATGGTGAACGTCCGCCGGGACTCTACCGGGATGCCCCTCTGGCTGGTGGTCCCAGATGGCCAAGTGTACTGGGTGACCATGGGCACCAACAGCGCACTCAAGAGCGTGACCACACAAGGACATGAGTTGGCCATGATGACATACCATGGCAACTCTGGCCTTCTGGCAACCAAAAGCAATGAAAATGGATGGACAACATTTTATGAGTAAGTATCACCACAAGGGCATCTGACAGTTTTGTTTCATGAGATGTACGATTAGAGGTGAGTTGGTGGAGTGTTAATTTTTGGATAGATTTCATTTTGGCTCAGAATTTGGGATGCACCATAACCCACAATGTGTTCTGCATGTTCATATCACAGCAATTGCTCCTAGGAAGGAATATGATGTAGTGGAAAGGGCATGAGCTTGGCATTAGGAGCCTTGGGCTTGCATGTTTCTAGGCCTCCATTGCCTCATCTGTACAATGGAAATACCTCCCCAACATCCCACAGGGAGGGAATGGAGATGAAACGTACTTGACAGAGTGCTAGCATCTTCGGATGACCACTTCCAGAAACAATGGCATGTTCCATGTAGATGAATTGCCCACCTAATCGAAGCTTACATCTTCAAGTTTCAAAACTTTTATTTTTTTTCATTTTAACCATTTTGGGTGGAACTTAAATGCTTTCCGTGCCTCCCTTCTCAAACCCCTTATAGAGACATAATGAAACCTTTCTCTTTATGAGTCAAGATCATTAATAAGGAACAACCGCAATTGCATATTACCCCAGAAGGGAGGACATGGGACTACAGAACCTGCCCAGAAAGGGTTGTAAACTGTCCTTTGATCAGCTCCAGCGTGGCAGGGTATCATTTTACTGCTTCCTCCCTCCGCGTGGCGCTATGTGTTTCAGTCGTGGCACCCACCACGAGGAGCTCACTTCCCTTCCCCTCATCCAAGGTAGGGCTTCTTGAGGGGTGTGATCAGAAAAGCAGAAGTTTGGCTCATTCCAGTCCTAGCCAGAATCAAAGGCATGTGTATCTGAGCTCTTTATCTAGGAGCTATTGTAATGAATGGACTTTGTACCTTCTCTTTTTGCATTTTTTAAGATGTTTTTTCAAGGTCTTAGCCATGTTCCAAACAACTGAGACTACTGAATATGTGACCAGTAGGTAGGTATGCAGGAGGTGGGGAAGGAAGTAGCCTTTTGAGCACCAGAGATGGGCTAGGAATCACATTATTGCCTTTAATCCTCATAAGAGCTCTGGAAGACGAGTGATAGTATCCATTCTACAGAAATAGAAACTGAGGCTCAGAGATGCTCTCTGTTACATAGTGAGAATGCAGCAGAACCGGGATCACAACCTAAGTCTGTCTGATGCCAGAGCTCCCACTCTGTCAGCTCCACCCTGCTGCCTCCTGCTGAGTTTGTTAATCCCAAATGAACTTAAATCCTTGAACTGTAAATTTTTCTCAAACTTGATCAAGCTTCAGTTTCTCATAGTCCTAGAATCCAAAGGCAAAAGATCTGTAATAGATTTTTAAATACAATTTGCACCAAAAAAAAAAAAAAAAAGTCACAGCAATTTATACAAAGTTCACTGGCTAAATTCCTGTCACCAAACAAGGGCCTTGTTAATTACAAAGAAAGACAAAGATCCAGGAAAACAGCAATTATCTTGATTAACTTATTGAAATGGAAATACACTCAGTAATTCAATTTTCCTCCGTTGCCCAATGGAAATCTCTTATACGTTACTTAGGCAATACAGGGGTTTCTTTGTCAGAGCAAGTCCGTACACTCAGTTAGTTCCCAAGGTCACTCCTTCAAATCCCAAACTGAATGCTTACATATCACTGCAACCGTTGTTCCCAACCAACCCTGAAATCTAAAACCATTTCCTATACCTACACCAGAAAGGATCCCATTCCCTGCTCCCTGTCTTCCTCAATGAAATATATAGTCATAGTAGTTTTATGAAGAAGAGAATGGTAGTGTATAATCACTTTTTAGAAAATGGCATTTGGAATTCCAAAGAATGCCCTGAGAATGGAAGATAAAAGCCCTAAAGAGAAACTTATTTATCTTGACATCCTACTGTGTGCCAAGATCTTTCCAATTTCATCTTCACGGTAACCTCAGACCAGAGAAATTACCATCCACAGTTTTTACAGATGAACAAACTGAGGCACAGAGAGATTAGGAACCAGTCTAAAATTACACAGTGATACATCGCAGGGCCAGAACACAAATCCGTGTTCTTTCACGGACACTGAGGATGTTCTCCTAAGTTCTCTGTGACTTCTCTGTATGGTAGGGAGAAAAATAGTATCTATTTCATAGGGATAGTCTGAGGTTAAAAATGTCAATGAGCTAAACCAATGTCAATGTGGAAAACGCAATGTCTTACTCATCAACAGTTTGAAAGTGGTAACTGCTGCCGTCATCATCCTCCTCCTCCTCCTCCTCGTCACTGCAAGCAATATGAGTGGATGTACCAGTAATTGCAGAATATTGTTTGGGCATGAGAGGTAGTACCCAGGAGCAACAGCAAGTAAACTAGTCAAAGGAGAAAACAAGAGTTATAATTAAAGTAGGTAGGAATTAGAACTCATGCCAGAGGAGCGGAATCAAATGTCAAGTCTGAGGGATCAAGGTAAGAACTAGGAAAGGGGTCAGGTCCCTGAGAATATCCAGACTGGGCTGGCAAAAGGCATGCAGAGTGGGTCAAGGAAAAATGGTTCAGCTCAGACTGTGAACAAAGCCAGGGTACAAGATAGCTATTTTCACTGAATGTTAGCCATGTGACTCGGGCTGGCTGCCTGGTTTCCAGACCTAGGTTTCAACCAGACAGAAATCAAACTTCCCCTACTCTATTTCATGGCCATTATGAGGATCAACAAACTAAATAAATACACAAGGTAAAAAAACTTGCAAACTGTGAAGTTCCCCGGAAGTAAGGATGCAGTATTATCATTATTGTGGTGTTTCTTTTTTCTTTTTCTTTTTTTTTAAGTAGGTTCCACACCCAGCACAGAGCCCAACACAGGGCCTGAACTCATTACCCTGAGATCAAGACCTGAGCTGAGATCCAGAGTTGGACGCTTAACTGACTGAGCCACCCAGGCGCCCCATTACTGTGGTGTTTCTTAGCATAGATTTTGACAGATTCTGCCAAAGCGCCATTGCTTTAGTGAATTTTCTACTGTTAGCTCCATGAGGCAGTTTAGTGGATTCCAATCCAAATGCTCTAATATTAAAAAAAAAAAAAAAAATCAGCCCAGGCTTGTGGGTAACATGGGCTGTTACCGAAACAAGTTTTAAGTTGGCTTTATTGATCCTTTCAACAGATTAAATAATTCATCTAACATAAACATCACACACTGCAGAGCAACTTGACTTAGAGAGTTCACAGTTCTGGGGAATGAAGCTTACCTTCCTCCCCTCAGCCCACAGGTCTGCTGGCAGAAAACCTCAAAGGACTCTGTAATGCAATCCTCATTTCCAGTGTGTGGCATCATTAATTTCAGATGTGGGCTCCTGGCCAGATGGCATTCAGTGGCTAAGAAAATGGCCTGGTGAGCATGACGCAGGTTCCAAAATTCGCTTGCTGGGTGGGCAGCAGCCAGCTTCCCTGAGTTTCATAGGGGTAAGTGGCTCTGGCATCCCATGGTGCCCTGTGGGTTCTATCATAGTTCTGCTCACACTAAATACTGTGAGACCCTAACTAACTGACCTCTGTCTCAAGCTCAGGGCTTGCCACCTCATAGGTGCTTAGTAAATATCTTATGAGTGAAATGTAAATACAGGGAAGGGAAATAAAGAAGGGAGGAAAAACACGCTGTAGTGAGAAGAGTATCAAATCCCAGCTCCAGCTTTATCAGTGCACCCAGCAGGACACAGAATTCAACTCAGATGGTTCAAATAAAGACATTTGGCTTTGGGGTTTTGCTGGAGGATGTAAGAGCTAGAAAGTGCATCATTCTCAAACTTACAGTAGGAATAAGCTAGACAAATGGCAGATTCTTGAGTTTTCCTTAAACTCCTTCTCTAAGGTCACAGGGCAGCCACCTAACCAAATCCAAGGGGAGAAACTCCTGAAGAGAAAGACAAGATGTGAGCATTAGCTTCCTGGGGGTCAACGCATCTGGTCGGAAGGGTTCGGCTAGGGTGGCTGGCAAATTTATGAAGGCCAAGTGTGTACTGGCGAGAGAGTATGAAGCCATTAGACGCTGCAGAAACTGAGTGGGAGAGCCCACATCCTCTTCGTAACTTCTCTCCACAGCCCGACCGGGGACTCTCAGAAAAGAATAGGGAAAGATGTAAGAAAGCGACTACTGTGGTAGACTTGGGGGAGGGGCACAAATATCTGCCTGCTGGACCCAGACCCGACTCACCTTATTTCCCATATGGAACAAAAGCCTTAATCTGTGGAGAGTAGGGCAACTAACGCTGCCCTCCTCAGGTACTGGTGGAGACCCACTGCCACTGAATGAGGGAAGAGAAAAAAATTCTAGCCTCTGTTAGGAAGGGAGAGGGATATGTAATGGGCCCAGAATTACAGCAGGAAGAGGGGCAGGAGGACTGAAGAGGCCACACTCTGTTTGTTTGGGGGTTTTTTTAGATTTTATTCATTTATTTGTCAGAGAGAGGGAACACAAGTAGGGGGAGGGGGAGTGGGAGAAGCAGGCTTCCCACCAAGCAGGGAGCCGGATGCGGCGCTCGATCCCAGCACCCTGGGATCATGACCTGAACCGAAGGCAGGCGCTTAACGACTGAGCCACCCAGGCGCCCCAAGGCCGCACTCATGAGACTCAGGGACACACGGATACATAAGACTGCAGCTTACTCGGAACCACGAACTCTCTAGCTCACCACCCGCTGCCATCAGTTAGCTAAAGAGCCAAACACAATAAGGGAAAGCAGAATACTACTGTGAAAGAGATAAAAGAGGGACAACAGCCTGGAAAGGGACCCACCCTGAGGCACAGTACAAACAGGGGACCTAAAGCTTAGGATGGAGTCGACACTGAGAAAAAAAAACTCCTCTGACAAACCAGTTGATTTCCCTAAACACAAGGTTTGCTGGAGGAACTTAAAGCCTATAATGCAGTAATGTTAGCCAAAGAAACATCAAACTTCAAGGCTAGCCCAGATCCTAAATTAACTCATACCCCTTCACTAAAGTCCTAGCAGAAGGAAACTCATACCCATTTCCA